CCCAGGAATCCTGCCCTGCATATCCGCTAGAGTTTGAGCCATTTGTCCCATCTGCCTCTCCATAGCTAGCATAGAAGATTGTAAATTATTGTTGATGGCTAGCTGTTGAGTGACAAATTGATCCAGGCCCTTCAGATTATTGTCGGTTTTCTGCATGTGAGCCAGAAGCAATTCTTCAAGTTGTGGTTTCTTCTCTGGTTGAGGTGGAGGTTGTTGTCTCTGCAGGCCTGGAGGTGGAATGTTGCGAGCACCAGTTGGGTTATTGTTCGCCCAGGAAAAGTTAGGATGCTTCCTCCATTGTGGGTTGTAGGTATTTGAGTACATACCTCCCTGGCCTTGATTTCTCTGATTGTTGATATAGTGCACATCTTCCATCTGATCAGCCACCAGTGGACATAGATCCCTATGATGAGCACCTTCGCATAATTCGCAATAAGAAACCTCCTCCTGTCTACCAAGAGCCAACTTAGGCAGCCTTCGTTCGAGTGCATCGAACTTGGAGTCCAGCTTAGCATCAATCTTTGCTTTCAAACTTGCAACTCTGTCTATCTCATGCAAGCCTCCTCTCCTTCGAATGCCGGTCTCACTTCCCCATTCAGTATCTTCAGAGCATATCTTCTCCATCAGTTCATATGCTTCTGGTGCCTCCATTCTTGTGAAACCATTCCGGGAAGCATTATTCAGAGCATCTCGGAATTGTCTTCTGATTCCGTTGAAGAAGATGGAGATCACGTTCCAATCTTCAAGACCGTGGCTCGGGCATCTCATTAAAAGCTCCTTATAGCGCTCCCATGCCTCGGTCAGACTTTCGTCTTCAGCTTGTTTAAAAGTGACAATTTCCTCTTGCCTCTTCATTGCCTTGGCAGGAGGAAAGTACTTATCCAAAAAGGTCTTCTCAAGCTGACCCCATGTTGTGATGGAACGGGGTGTCAAGTTCTGGAACCAGTGTGATGCATTCCCTAGCAGAGAAAATGAGAACATCCGAAGACGGATGGCATCATCAGACACAGCCGGGCTCTTCATTGTGTCACAAATGCTTGCAAACCGGCGGAGATGTTCATGAGGATCCTCAGTGCTTGCCCCGGAGAAGGTGTACCCATTAGTGATCATATTGATGAAGGCTGGGGTAATCTCCATGTTTGCATCCCCAGCTGGAATGACAACACATGAAGCTCGGGCTCCAGTCCTCCGATTCAGACGAGCCCTGATCGAACGATCCTGTTCTGCCATGATGTCTGGCTCGATGATGCGTGGTGGCGGTGTCGGGATGACAGGTGGTGAAACCTGCCTTCTCGGTTGACGATTCTGGGTTAGGGAAGGCCTAGGAGTTGTGGATGTGGTAGGCTGCTTCCCTAACTTGACCTGCTTCCTGTTCTGTCGGCAGGTCCTCTCTATCTCTGGATCAAGTGGCAGTAAATTGCTAGTCGTCCTCCTTGGCATGCACAAGGAGGATAAACCTGAAAAATTCACCTGCACACTAACACCCAGATCAAAAAAGTTCACTCAAAAAAATCAATAAAAAACAAGGTATGGCAGTCCCCGGCAACGGCGCCAAAAACTTGATAGGGCAAAAGCGTATGCCTTAATCCTATCTTGTAGTAAAACCGGAAAGTCCGGGTATCGTCTCTCAGAGACTGGTACAACCTTATGAGTTATCAATTCTGTGGAGCAAACTATAGGTGAAAATGGTTTAAAGAGATTATTAACTACTAGCAAAATAATTAAACTAATTAAGCAAGTAAACTTGTCGGGAGAAATTCAATGGAGAAAGCTCTGGGAGAAACACTGGGATTCACTACCTATCATATCAAAATTAATTCACATATTCTAATCAGTTTAATCCAATTCTCTACAGCCAGGATATCACGAATGTGCTAGCTATCCCTGTCGGGAATTACTACGTACTAAACAATTAATTCAAATCCTACTGTCGTAGCTCAATGAATTAACTATATAGTCTGAAGATCGATATCCTATTTAAGACCGCATAGCACCTTATTTAATCCATTGTCGCTTCGATAAGTTACTATGTCACATGAAATAGGTTCAGTGATTAGGGTTTCACTGTCGCTAATAACCTAATTAACTACGATTCATTGTATTGGTGGCCAGTCAACACAAAGCATTAAGCAATTTCATGCAATAGAGAATGGAAGAAAAGAATCATGAATCAATCCATCAAATCAAGAACTAGCTACATCCTATGGTGTTTCCCCCAGAAATTGGGGTTTAGTTCATGACGAAATTAAGATAAAACAATAGGGTTTTGTTCATCATGTTCTAAATCAACAATACACAACTAGTTCGGTTCAGAGAATCCCACCAACTAATCGCTCTCGTTGAACTCAGCTAAAGCCGCCTGGAAAATTGATCACCAATCGCCGCCTTGGAAACTCTCGCTGCGCGCTGCTCCCTTTTGCTTTCTTTTCGCCCCAAGAATTCTTCGCCCGAGACTCTTCTTCTTTTTTTCCAGAATAATTTACTTCCCCCTCGATTAATTGCCCGAGCCTTTCTTTTCCAAGAATTACTCGTCCCCCCAGAGTTCCCCCCAGGCCCATTTCATTAATCCGCCCTCTCATATCCAAGTCCTGCTGCCTCCTTTCACCTTTTGCAAAGAATTCCTTGGCCCAAAAATAACATGTGCCGCCTCTTTGCCTGTCCCAGCAAAGCTGGCCCAAAAGCGCTCCCCCAGCCAATTCCTCTGGGCTTTGAGCCCAAGTGAGTAATCCACAAGTAATTCGAGTCGATTTATTGCTTGTACACTCGTTCCTTTTTCGTGCTTTCTCCACCTGTAATACATCAAACTCATGGCACTAGGCAGGAATGGTTTTTCAACCATTCTCGGGTTAGGGAGCCCTAAAATAGCACCAATTGGCTAAAACATACCATGAAATAATCACATAAAGTCCAAGAATCCGATATATTAAAGCCGAATATCACATTGTGTTTCCAAAATTCAATGGGCAAGAGGATGCATGTCTTTGGTTGTATGCAGCTGAGAGGTGGTTTAAAAACCACCCGATTCCGGAGGAGAGAAAGGCCTATATGGCATCGTTTTATTTGGAGGGTGATGCGCTCCAGTGGTGGGAGTGGATGGAGAGATCCTACGCAGTGGCCGAGACTTTGATCACCTGGCTATGTTTCAGGAGGAGTTCCGCTACCAGTTTGGGAAGTCGGAAGGGTGGGTCTCTGAGCAGTTGGCAAAGCTGAAGCAGACCGACACTGTGGCCGATTACCGCGCTGAGTTCTTCAAGCTGGGGAACCAATGAAAGGGAGTTCCGGAGGACACATTGGTGGGGCTATGCAGGGTGTGCCTCAAGCCCGAGATAGCAGCAGCGGTCAGAGTATTTGAGCCGTATTCCTTGAAAGCTGATTTTCGTCTTGCAGGTCATAAAGAGGAAGAACTTGCCAGCTGAAGGAGTACCATAGGCCGCTGCCCGAAGTCAAGTGGAGGTGGAGGAAGCAGTGGGGCCAGTGGCAGCAGTGGAGGAACGCTGGCGGGAAATGCAGCTGGGGCTAACACCGGAAGCGGAGGCACGTCCCCGGTGGCTAGGATGAGACCACGGCCCATACCAAAGGTGTTCGTGCGACTGTCTCCGGCCGAGATCGAGCAAAAGAGGCGGGAGGGCAAGTGCTTCAATTGTGATGGTCAGTTCACCATTGGTCATCAATGCCCGAAGCTGGACCTGATGATGTTACTCGAACGCTGGGAAGATGAAGCGGAAGACGCACCCAAGGACGCCAGGAATGGAGAGGAGGAGACCCAGTGAGCTCGAGAAACAACCTTGGGGACAAGGTTGATTTTCGAAGGAAGCGGGGATGATAGAAATTTGCATTTTAGTACTTTGATTAATTGTCGATTATTCATTATTTCGGATTATTTGGGCAGTTTTGGAAAAACATTGATAAGTCGGGTAGTAGTTGGTAATTATCCATTTTATATAAACTACTTGTACGTGGGATTAGGCCACTAAGCAAGAATAAACCTAAATTCTAATTGCCTCTCTCTCTCTCTCTCTCTCTCTTCCCTCTCCCTTCCCTCTCTAAAGGCCGCTGCGCGGCCAACTCCTTTCCCCCTCCTTCTTCCTCTCGTCCCACCCCAAATCCCCTTCTTCCTCCCCTTCTGTTCATCCCAAGATCAATCCCTATTGGATCTGCCCCAATCCAAATCCCTAGATAGAACCCAATCATCCGGGTTCTATCATTACAGAACACATGCCTGATTACAATATAAAAGGTACTACTAAATCCAAAACAACAACTCATCAAAATACCAAGCAACTACTAAATATGCAGCAAGCCAACAACCATTAAGTCCACATTGTATGACACATGCTGGGAATAACCTAATTGGAAGCCAAAAAATAATAAGCAATTTCCAACCCTACGATTTACCGCGGGCGCAGATAAAAAAATATTAACATCTACAACCCATTACTTGTGGCTTCGTCACACAATAACGGTTTCAGCTCGAGTTTAAACTTTTCCGTGAACTAGTGTCACTATTAAGAGAAACCAAAGGTAAATTCTTTATTCAGTTCTATTATATTTCAAATCACTTTACAAGCAACGATAATGGCCAAGGGGTTACGATCAACAGGGAGAGATGTGTGATCGAGGGAAAATAGGAAGGGTCAAAAGCAGTGTTATTAAAGCCGAGCCGAGCCGCTCGGCCCGACCGGTAAAATCGCCACCCAATCACAAAATCGGCTCGGAACAGTCTAAAAGCCACTCCGGTTTTATGTAGCAATTTTTGCCATTCAGCCGTTAAATTAAATTAAAAAACTTGTAGAAAATTGAAAATTGAAAATTGAAATAAACCAAAAACGTCGGGCTCTCAAACTGAATCCTTATTTTCATTTCACAATTCCGAAGGAAAGAGACGAGCTCTGATTAAGAAATGTCCACTATTTATACTGATAACGTTTATTAGGTACATGTTCTCTAACGGTTTTTAAACGGTCTAATGCCGGTTATGCTCCGATTCGGAACTGACAACATTGGTCAAAAGGAAGAGTTTGAATTTCTTTATTATGTTGTTCAATTAATCGAACTACACTGTGTAACAGAAAGAAAAGAGGGTAAAAATAAGAATAAACCTGCCCTTGCTCTATCAACTATAGTGAATCAGTTAACTAGCTCCTGCCTACCACAAATTTCTACCAAATTCTGTAAAATTCACTTTCCCTTTCTATCATAAACGAATCAATCAATGAACAAATGATCAGTTCCTTGGAGGGTTGGGCGACAGAGGCCCTTCCAGTCGAATGTAGTCATACATCAGCCCGTAAAATGGCCCTGTATTGATCGCCTGCGTCAGGAAAACAGTGTTGCTCCCATCAACAAGCAGGCTGCCAGGAACAACCACGCTAAACAGCCTGTAAACCCCATGGATTCCGTGCCTCGCGATCGTGTTATCCTTCCCAATCGACCCGGTCGTGAACAGTGGCACCGCCGAGCTTGGATCGTTGACCCGAACCTGCAACTCTGCTCCATTTGCAGTCGCCAGAGCAATCCTCAACGTGTAGTTCACATTCTGATACGTCCTGTCGAGGCTATACTTGACCTGCCAGGTTGTTCCTTCATACGTCCCATTGTCACCCTTCTTCCTGGAAAATATTGGTTCAGACTGAAATTTTCAGAAACCCGCGAAAACGGCATAATTTACTTTGAAGCCCCTGGCTAGAATTCCAAACCTGGTGACTTGTGCGAAGAACCAATCTTTTCTGTAATCGTCGGTTCGGACATTGTAGACCAAGTCTGCTTCAGGGTACAGCTCTGCGTATCTTTCCCACAATCCATACTGCCTATACCTGTGAGGGTAATCAAGTTTCGATATTCGATCATAATTAAGCCCAACGAAAATCGAAATCAAAATCCATGGATGACTAAGAGATAATGTAACTAATTAGTTTACTAACTTTTCCTGATGAATGTAAAGCTTGTTAATGTAATTGGGATTAGCGTCAGGAATGAAGAACTCCCCCGCGGTTCTGTCAGGTACTCCGATTTCCCACAGAGTTGATGCGTTTCTTGGTGGCTCGAACACAAGATCTCCGACCTCAATGCTACGACCTGGTTTTTGAAAAATATTCAAGTTCACGAATGAAAAGAAACCAAAGTTTTTATAAAAGTTACATTAAGGGGCAAAAGGAAACAGTGGAAGGAACAAACCTGGGGTTATGTTAATGACAGCATCATACTTGTAGTCTCCAATGAAGCCAGGAACCCAACCGTAGAGATTATACTGACCAGCTATAACATTGCTGATGCTGAATGAGCCGTCTTCCTCTACTTCTGTCCAAAACTGGTATCCCTGAGAAAAGGAAAGGACTATCAGAAATGAAGCTAGAGGGGAAAAAGACTCTGCTGCCAATTGAGAATTGTGAACCGGTTTGACAAAATTGATAAATCAGACCTTGGATTCGAGTTGCCACGAGCCGGGGTCGCCCGGAGCGGCCAGACCAACCCAACCACCGGTTGGAGGCAGGTTTCGAGTGCTGATTTCCGGGTCATGGACCGACAATCTGCCGGTTATGCCACCCCGCTGGTCGGGTAGCGGATAATCTCGAGAACCCAAGAACCGATACGGCCATTGTTTGGCCTGAACCATCAGCTGATTCTTGGCATCGTCCCACAGCGACATCCCGGTGCCGCTGCTGCTGCTAGCCTCGCTCTCAAGTGAGTTAAAGTAGACGAAAACCGGGCCGTACACTTTCTTCCACGCCTCGCCCGCTTCGAACGGGACCATCAGATCGGCTCCCGTGTAATGCGTGCTGTGGAACACCTGCCAACCCAATTGTGAGGGAGAAAAAAGAGAGCAAGGAAACCGTCAGCTTGCTCGATTGGCGAAACGAGAAATTGGTCCAGTGGTAATATCACTAGCGGGAGAGATCGTACCGCGAGGCAGGTGGGCCCGTCGTGGGAGGAGAGGAATTGCTTGAGTGGGCCGGCGGACCTGAACTCGGAACTGGGCGTGATCTGCCAGAATCCGACTGACGAAGATGGGTCTTTGCCCATCCACCCGTGAACTTTGATGTCTCTGCTCTCCATCGAATACTCGTACTTGTCATCCACCTGATGCAACCACAACCACAACAACAACCCAGAAGTTAGCATGTCCAATTGAATCGTAAATCTGTCTTCTGGGTTGACTTTTTTTTTTTTTTTGTGCTGACCTCTCCTTTGAATTGGGGCTCGATTGGGTCAACGAGCAAGACGGCCTCCGGATAGGCTAGCGGCTGGCCTCTTGGAGGCACCCGATCTTCGGGCAACGGCATTGGTCGTTGCTTCTTGTCACTTATTGCCATGTAATGGAATCTGCATCAATGTTTGAACATTGCTGTCACACTGCTACTCATCTTCCAATTTGACTATTACTGTAAAATGTGCGTACTTGTCTTTTCTGGGCTTGAGGACGAGGCGAGTGTTGGCGAGCTGAAAGGCCGGGTGCTGCTGAGAGTGTTCATAAATGGCGTATGTGTAGAATCCTGACGACCCACGTCTCATTACAAACCTGTGAAAGTCCCAACCCAGTCAAATTGGGTGTTTACTTTCTTTCAACATACCAGAACCCAAAAGGCAGTGGGAGCAATGTTGAAAACAGGCACTCGTTTCTGTGAAAGAAAAAAGTAAGTTGTTGTATTGTGGATGTGGACCTTTTGTCGATATCGAGTGGGACGGGCTTGCCTTGAAGCTCAGAGCTCCACTTTCTCGTGAATGAAAGCTCCACCTGCTCCTCTTCCTCTGTTATTACTGTCAAGTTTTTACACTCCAGCCTGCAGTTTTTACATTACCATCAGTACTAACAGCCCCATTTTGTCTTCTTCTTTGGCAGTCTGGCTTTGAGGTTGATAATGATTGGGTTAAGGACAAAGCAAAAAGTAGATACCTAAAAGATTACCTGTCAAGTGCACCTTTCTTCTTGATGATTCCATCCCCTTTCCACACCACATCCCAGTACCTGTAAATTACCCCACAATTTAGACAAAAGGTCAGCTTCGCACATTATAAATAACAACCAGCAAAACCCATATCGATTAATCATCTCAACCACGTTATCCCTTCAGTCGTCACCTCTCAACTAACAGCCCATTCGCCCCCACCCTCTTACCCGCAAAACGCCCAATTTCACAACAAACCCTCAACCAACTGATGAAAGTGGCAAACTTCCTCCAACCCCTTTGGATATCATTTTACTCCCAAAATATAAATCGTGTATCACGTCAGTCACGCTAAACCGATATAAAACGAACCAAAACGATCGATGAGTATCAATGCATTATTTACGTATCTTTACCACATTCGTATTATAATAAATACGGTACGATCTAATAGTCGACACGCTACCAAACATAACCTATATGAATTGATCGGTCAATTTGGTATCACAACAAAAATTGAAGTACATGTGGGAAACGATCCAAAAACACTAAATGTATGTATGTATGTGCATGGATAATTCAGGTGTGGTGGGCAGCCTACCCACGGTCAGTTTCACTCTTAACAACTTCAAGCAGATTGTCAATGCCGTTGTACTGAATTCCCGTCATCGAACCGCCGGGGTTCGTCAAGTTCACCTCAACTATTCCGTTTCCGACCACCACCTGCCACCACGGAAATCAAACATTAACCCAGAAACGAGAACGATAATTATTGTGTTGTTGGAAATTGACAATTCTTACATATTGATCCATAATCTGCAGCTTCACCGGCGGGAACGAGTTCTGGCCGGCGGCCGGAGCTAAAACCTGCCGGCCGCCACCGTGATTAATTCGGGCCGACGCTTCTGAGAAGAAACACGACGAAGTTGAGGTCATGAGTAGTAGAAGGAGACAGAGGGGAATTCCGGCCGCAGGATGTTCCATGATTGGAGGGCCGTTTTTTTCTCTTTTCCGGATGCTCTGTTTTTGTTTTCCCCCCTCTATGCTCTGTTTTTTTTCTTTCTTTGGACAAGAGTGAAGTGATGATAAAACAAGGAATCGGGGGACGCCTTCGCTTCGTATCGTGCTAGATATGAATCAGCGGCTGGTTGAAATTTGGTTGGATATCAGTTGCTTTGTCGTTTGTTATTCCTGGAAAAGGAAAGAGCAGAAAGGAAGTTTTTGCAGAGTTACCAAACTCATAATACATGAATTGTGCATCCCTTTTTTCTTTACAGCAAAAACAGAAGGAAATAAAACTGGCATCTGCAGTATCTTTCATAATAATCTTATATTAGTGGGGAAATCCGGGATTTTTTTGGATTAATTGAAATTTGAGGTTTCCTTTTTTGATTACTGGTTTTTTTTCGTAAGTAACATCACTGGCAGACGGCAGTGACTATGGAGGAAAATTCCAAAATGTAATGAAATGAGTGATGCATTGTGAATGGTACCGAACATTCACATAGTAATTAATTATCATAAAAAAATTTAATTGAAATCAAAGAGAGGAATAAAGTTGGTGAATTTTCACTTCAGTTTGTGTTACTGCACCACTACTCTGTATTTAAGGTTTCAGAGCGTTTGCCCGAATTTATTAATTTCAGGATTTTACGGACTTATTTTGACTGACTTAATATATTGTAAATTAAGTGGCTATTAAGGGAGCGGATTAATTACTGGAAAATAAGGGTAATTAACTTAATGGGTTCTTCAATGTGTGTCACCGTTGAAAGCAAGCATACTTTGAAATTCACAATTAGTACCTTATATGTCAATTAGGCCAGTCAAAAAATTTAATATCAACGCTTTAAAATCGTAATTAACGAGCTTCAATAATATTTAAATAAATTTTAAACGCCTGAATGAGCTAAAATGTTGTTTTGGTTATACAGATTTTACCTTGAAGGTTGGTGTAATTTACATGAGTGATACTTACAATATCATGTAATTGAATAAATATGTAATTTTTTTACTGCATTTGAAATGCTGCATGTCTAAATTGAAAATGAGTCAAAATAATAGGATATCAAATACATTCTCATAAAGTATTTGAAAATTCACTTACAAAAATGGGCGTGTCTCGTCTCTCTATTTTAGACAAGTAACCACCATTTTGGGAGAAAATAGTTGTGTATTGATCCGGGAACGGATCAGGTCAGTAACCTTATGGTGAGTAACTATGAGTAACCCGCCTACATCAGCATGACATCAACATCCTTTCTCTCCTGGAAAGTCTTTAATTTTCCTCTCCTTAATCTTTGACGGACGATTTCTCACTCGTTTTAAGTCAAAATTTAATTTTTTTTGCACAGTTAGATCAGATTAATTGTGCTCTTCAAAATGATATCCACTTTTATATATTTTTCAAACAAAAAAATGAGCCATTTTTTACCAGTCTATACCATATGGTATTGACTGGTATTGAAATAAGAACATACCTATGGTTTGAAAAGCGTACCATGGTGGTATGACACAAACTAAAACTGTAGGATGGTTGAATACATGATAGTAGAAGTATATTAATTGTCATTTACGACTTTTAACATTGTATACCATAAGATACCACCCCGTACCAGGGTGGTATTGTATGGTATTGTGTGATATTTTTTGGTCTTGTAATTTGTTCACCCAGAAATTTGTAGATCCAGTAGATCATGATGAACTCGTCCCTGCTGTGAACGTTTTCAAAAACGAATTAAAAACGAAGAAGATACCATATGGTATGCAGTTGGTACCGAGATGCCAGAATTTTTTTTCCTAAAAAAATATTGAAAATTGATCTCATTTTGTAGAGCACGATGAACTCGTTCCATCTGTGCAAAAAAAATTAAAATCCGAGTTAAAACGAAAAAGATATGAGTCGATTAAAAAAATAGTGAAAATAAAAATGACCTTTAATTCTCCATCCTTAGATCTGGATTTTCTAAATGAAGGGTCCAGATTTGATTATTGGTTATGCACCCTAACTTGAGCCGTATTGATGTCACCTAGAGGTGTGATGTCAACTTTATTTCAATTTATATATCTAGTTCATTCACTAAAAATTCATTTAATTCAAGTGAAAATAGATTGGATTAATAAATTGTTGAAAAATTACACGATAGTATCTATATATTATGTATTTCACAATTTGATACTTAAATCATGAATGTTAATTATAATATTATTTTTAAGTTACATTTTGCTATCTAAATTTATTATAGTTACATTTGAGAACCTAAACTATTCAAAAAAAAAAAACATAATAATCCACCACTTACATATGACTTTAATCCATTTGCAATCTCTCTGATATCCGTACATAACAAAACTAAACCTAGCATTAAATTAAACATTTGCCATTTATGCATGTAAACGTTCCCTCCTTATTCTCATCCTTTGTTTTCTGATAATATAATAATATCCTTCTTGCATGCTACGTTACGACGATTAGGATAACCACCACCTATTTTGTTGTTAGCCACCCATGTCCAAAGAAAGCAATAGAGATGGATGATAATTGAATAATTGATCAGTCCACGTAGTGGAAAAAAAAGGACATTACAATAATTAATTAATTAATTTAATAACAAAATATCAATTCACTATTCATCATCCGCAATTTGCAGCAAAATAATTTTCAAAGTAAACAGAAAGACTTGGATGCGAAACATGAAAATATTCTATTGCTGCCCCTGAAGAAATTAAGAAGCAAAAGTCACGTAACTGTTCCTGAAATTAACATTGCATTTTGCATAATACATTGTTATCGCAAATTTCAAATCATTATTAGATTAATGATACAAACGTCAAACGCAAACATACCTGAAAATTGCTGTTCCGATCGAATTCCAGGGCAAAGAGAGAAGAGCAATTTGTGGATCGGAGGAGAAGAACCTCGGACTGAAAGGGTCTTTCATCATTTATAAAGGCTTCGGGAGAATTCACTTTTCCTTCTTCTTCTTCTTCTTCTTTTTTGGTAAGCGATAAGGCGACGACAGTTGAGTTGGGTAGATTGGGGAACATGGGAGTTCGAGTAGAGAGAAAGGTTAGCATATATGCTTCTCTCCTCTCCTGTCTTTCTCCTAACATGTACGTACTTAGCTTTTGGTGGTTCCATTCCATTGTTGATGGTGCAGCGTATTAGTAATTCATCGCTTTCTTTTTGGGTTTCCTTTATCCTGCCGTCATCTATTAGGTTTGCCCTTCCCGCCGCACTTTTCTTTTTTTTTTTTTTTTAAGGATGATATAAATTAAAAAGGAAAGTTGCAACAACCCAGAAAGTACACATACATGGAGGTGGGGAACCCGAATGCGAGATTCCCGCCGCACTTTTTTGAACTACCTTTTGTACTGGATTGGATATGAAATTATGAATTGTCGCAGAGCAGAATGGATCTGCCATTGACAGCTACGTACCCATTTTTATTTAGGTAAATAATGACAAGGGTCGAAAATTTGAATTGGAGACGCTGATTTGAACTGAGATCATTTAAAAAGGGAACTAAGGTCTTACCAAGCAGTGGCGAACCCAAAAATTTCATTAAAGGTATTCAACAATAAACAAAATTTTATAAGCATTTATCAAATAGTTTGGAATCAAAATACTATCATTACCAAACTAAAATTTTACATTCAAGGTTTCTCAATTCACAACCCGTTCTTTTGAGTGGGTCCGCACTTGTTACCAAGTACTCTATTTTGTATATTCATAGCGAATTTTACTTATATTTTCAATTTGAGAGCGCTAACTCCAACACTGATGTATGTTTTTCTTTACAGAAACGCATCATACTTCATGCTGAAGCAATGATATGAAACGGGTGGCTGGTGCTACCCACTGCTACTTTTAGCAGGCTTCCCAAACCTGCAACTTAATTCTTTCCACATTCCCCTGCATTGGATTTGGAGGTGATTCATTCGCCCTATCTAGCTATCAGAAAACAGCTTCTGGGCCACAGCAACATATATCAACTAATTGGAATGCGCCTTCCCGTGGAGTCCAAGCTAACTCGAACGGACAGCCGCCACCGGCCACCACCAATAAACTTTTTTGTTTGTTTATCGTATAGCTTGTCCTTGCTTGAGAGGAATCAAGCAGCCAACATCAAATTCTCAATAAAAGGACAATGTTTGCTTCACATGGCTACAATTATTCCAACGATTATTATGTGCATATATATATATATGGGTATATGACAAATGTACACATGATCGTGACAGAATATGACCATGGAAAGCTCTTATCAATAAACCACTGGCCATTAACACGAGAATTAAAAAATTCTACAGCTTCCACCTGATTTTCACTCGTTTGAATCGAACCTTGGTCAACCACAACACATACAAAGAAAGAGATCATTAGTTGGAGTGATGTCGTACGAGGAAAAACCAAGACTTTCTCTATAATTATGCGTTTGAATCTTCTTCTAGCATTGTCACTTTTACTCTATCTTCTTCATCGTGTAATGTAAGCTTGGGCTTTAGTGCTACGTTAGTGATATACAAACGAACAGGGCCGGCCCTGAGATTTTGGAGGCCTTGTTCTGTAAACAAAATGTGGCCCAAATTATTTTTCTAAAATATATAATAAAATATAAATAAAGCATGAATCGATAAATAAAAATCATCCCATTATTTAAAAATAATATCTATATAATATGATTTATAATAAAGAGTGACAATGATTTAAATAGTAAGATGCAATTAAAAAATTAATTATAATTTTAGAACAATCAAATAGTATTAACAAATAATAGAATAAACTAAATTCGAAAGGAGAAAATTTTTAGTCTAAAATTAAGTATGGTACAAACTATTTATAATTAATTTAGTTATTTTTCCTTTTATACTATTGGTGGCTTGTACCAAATTATTACAGTTAATATTTAATAAATCAATGTGTATTATTTAATTAATTTAGCATTACTGACTTGATAGTACAAACAGATTAATTAAAAAAATTGAATTATTTTTCTCCTTGGAATGTTGAAAATGAAGAAACTTAAAGCAACAAATTTAATAATGCTAATAATGAGGCATCACCAATCTTAAAAAATTTATTATAGTTAGGAAATACACGAAAAAATTAGTTATGTTATATGATTTGAAAAAGTTTAATAATTAAGAAAGTAAGTTTTCCCCTCATGTGATCCGTTTAATCTTAAATTTTGTAATATTATTGCTTTAGACCCATAATCAAAACACAATTCATAAAATTTCTATTATTTTATATTTATAATCGAAATCTAATAACCCATAAATATAATTAGTCATATACGCGATGGAGGTCTTGACGCCCCAAAAATTTGGAGGCCCTTTTACCAAAAAATAAAAATAAAAATTTGGAGACCATGTGCTAGAGGGCGTGCTAGTACACTGATTCGGGCTCAAATGTACACATTTTACCCCTCATTTCTTATTTGTTTAGCTTAGTATTTCATCGTTTCTTGACATATGTCACGCTAGGTTGTGCTTGTTTTGATACATTTCAGGTCCTAGCACGTGTGGAAGGGTCGAGGACGAGTTTTGGGATATTTGGAGGTCAAAAAGCGCAAAAACCAAAGAAAAGTCCGAAGTCCGTGACAATTGCCCCATAGCAGTGAAGTGAAGGAGTCCCAGGAAACAGTCGCAGTTCACGACCGGACAAGGCAGTTCACGGTCTCCTAAGACCCTGAACATGGACCACAAACCGTGAACATCGAGCAGTCCAGCGGGATTCGTGAAGTTACTGACGATAAGGCACGGTCTATAAGACCATGAACTGGGGTCATTGACCGTGAACCCGGGTGAGTGAAGCGGCGTGTTTTGGATGACGCTGAGTTCACGGACGCATTTAGGTGTTCACGGCCGTGAACTGGCTAACGCGTCCGTGAACTGATCGCTTTCCGGCAAATATGAAGATAGCAGCGGAGAGAGAGAGAGAGAGAGGAGAGCTGGTTTTTGGGGAAGAAACACTTTCTTTCTCTAGAGTTTCAACCTAAACACCAAAGGGGAGTTCTAGTGAGAGAGAGAGTGCTAGAGTGATCTTGAACCATCATTGGAAGCTTGGGTGGAAGATTAAAGCCAAGAAGAAGAAGAAGAAGATCTTGAGCTCAAATTTGTAATCCCTCTCTCTCTAGAAACTCACTCTTTTCTCTTTGGGTGTTGTAGATCCCTAACTAATACTTTGTAATTACTTGTCTAGATTGAATGATTGTCATTGGGTATTGATTAAGTCGATGTTTGAGGCATTATTCACCATGATTGTGCATGCTTGTGCTTAGCAACTTAGGGGTTGTGCATGTTTTGTGCTTAGCATCCTAGGGATTGTGCATAATTATGCTTAGCACCTTTAAGTTTGTGCATCTAGGTGCTAGTAATCTAATTTGCCACCTTAGCCTAGTTTAGAGAGAAAAATCCCTCTGTCAAGGGATACTCAATCGAGTTGGTTTTCCTTCTGCTTTCTAAGCCACCTAAACTAGGTTGAGTTATGGAAACCCTCAATATTGAATTAAACAAGTCGATTAATCGTGGTTAAACCGTCCGACCTTCGAGTTGAGTGAGGAAGTAAGCCGATTACCGATTGTCTAAACCAAGAGGGTCGAGTGACACGGCCTTTTATCCTCACCCCGGTTTAGCAGTTGAGACTGTGGTAACTAGTTAACAAGACTGTGATTTAGCAGTTGCTTCCCCCTAACTAGATCCAAGGCAATCTTTCCAATCCAACGAGTCTTGGTAGCTAGTTAGGGGGAAGCAACTCCTGGGTGAAGCTCCCCTAGTTAGGATTTTCCTTGTTAGTTTAGTTTGTAGTTTTCTTAGTTCTAAACCCAAAAGTTGTTTGCTAGATAACAACCTAAGCGATTGAAGTAGGGGTACATGGATCGGCCCGGGTTCACAATAAAAATACTTGCTCTATACTGCACCCGGTTAGAGTTTAAAAACTTGTGCTCTAGTCGGGATTAATTTGTGGTGTAGTTTCATGCGAGTCAAGTTTTCGGCCCCATTGCCGGGGAACCGCGGTCTATTATTTTGAAAAGTTCGCTTAGTGTTAATCTAGCATTTTCTATCTTGTCTTTTTGTTTGTGTTTTATGTTTCGTGTTGTGGTTTGTTTACCCACTCTTCGTTTTGAAGGGTGGTTTGTGTTTGTTTGATTTTCCTTTTGTGTTTTTGTTTGTGTAGGTTATGAACCATGGATCCCAATGGCTTCTACAATATGTGGGAATATCCACAAACACCCGAATGGGGGTACCTCGGAGCTTCATGGAGTGAACAAGAAGGGGGAAGCCAAGGATCCGGGTTCTATTACCAACCCCCCTTCCAAGAAGAACAACCATACCAATGGGGGTTCGAAGAGGCTTCCCCATATCAAGAAAATTTCCCTCCACAACCCGAGGAAAAATCCAAGTTGGAGTTGACCATGGAGGCTTTCATGGCACAAGCCTCAAAGAGGAAATTGGAGCTCATGGTGGAGTGGTTTGTTCGAGGCACCAATGAAGGGTGTTCGAACTTGGATTTCCCACAATCTGAAGCGAAGTCCAAGTTGGAGCTTACCGTGGAGAATTTTACAAGAACAACCTCCAACACGGATTTCCAACCCCTCCCTCCTCCCGGTTTGACACTAGAAGAGAAAGTGGCACGAGCTTGTGGAAGCTATCGCCTCTCATTATTGGAGGAGAAAGAGGAGGTTGGAAGAGCAATCAATGAAAATCGTGTGGAGCAAGAAGAACTCGCCCTGGAGAGCTCCCATGGTGAGGATGAACAAGAAGGTTGCATTGATGACTCCCATCACTTTCCCCTTCTCGAAAGCAATTGTGAAGACCAAGACACGAGTGTGGAGGAGCAAGAGAATCCCTTCTATGACCTTGCATGGCATCTTGCCCTCAAATTCTTGCTTGAAGACATGAATGGGAAGGAGAAAGAAGAGGTTGAAGAGGAGGAAGCGAGCTTTAAAGAGGAGGAAGATCTTGGGTGTTCCC